ACAATTAAAATCACCTAGTTAAAATAGTATAAAATTAATACAAAAACATACAAAAGTTAAAAACATAACTAAAGTGTACAACCCATATTTTAAAAAAACCACACTGTACTGATTATATGTTATAAGGCCTGCTTAAATAAAAAAGTTTTTGCTTGCTGGTGAAAAGCAAGCAGGGAAGGGCCAGACAGTCTCCCATGGAAGGGAGCTCCAAAGATGTGAGGACAAGTCAGATTCTATCCACCAGTGCCCTGATAGATGTGATTGAATGCCTTTTGATGAATGATGTCAATTTCCTTCAAATTTTCCTCCCGCACCTGTCCCCACATATTCATTACAAGTTTTCTACAAATTTTAATCCATTTCAATTGTGTTATGCATAAACACAGTTACCAACTGAATGCCACAGCAGACAGCAATATACAATAGACCCTCTGTATATGTGGTGATCCATTCCGGACCCCTCATATATGGGAAAAAACACAGGACCTCAAGTCCCATTGTTTGCTATGGGTGCGTGCTCCCACAGGCACATGTGCCATTTTAATGCCTGGGGCTTGCCATCTGCATGAGCTTGAGTCCCCGGATGGCAAGCCCGCATGTGGGGCAGGCTCACTGTTGACTTTGGACATACAAACCATTAATAAATAATGGGTAACTATGAATATCAAAACATAGAATATAAGACCAAGTTTCAGAATTACAACTGTAAGTCCTGCTTTGTTATTACTTTTATTAATTAGTGATCTATGTGATCATTAATTAATAGACAATACCCTATAGTCATACCCTATAGATAGGTTTAATAAACAAAACCCTATAGCCATACCTTATAGATAGGTTTAAGAAAAAGGCATATCATCAGCATAGAAATGTTGAGTTAATTGATACAAAATGGATCATAATGTGGATGCTGTTCTAGCTAATCTAGACAGTAATCAAAGTATGATAATGAAAAATGTTCTGTCTTAAATTTCATTTCATGCATAATGAGGAAATTAACACTTTTCTTAACAATACCTGTATCTAATGGATGATGTTCACTTTCACTATCTGTATCAATTCCCACCAGTACACCATCTCTAGAAGTATTAGTGGAGTATTTTTCTTCAGTCTCCCAGCCTGGCTCATGAATAGGAGGTTGGGTTGAGTCTTCAAGAGTGTTGTGAATGGCAACTGTTTGATGAATCAATGATGAACTTAGGATATTTAAAATATAAATTGGTTCCTTGTCCAAATGAATACCCCTCCCATTGAATCATTGCTCAAAGTTTTCAGTCTCAGCCATACTTTCAGTGCAAGAATTTTTTATATAGAATGCGTGGAGATGTTATGCTTGATATATGGCTGATAAGAATTCAGTTATAAGCAATGATAGAACAATCTAAATTATTTTCTCAGAACCCATGTAATTACAAATTATTTGCTATTATTACCTGTATGAAAGATTTTCTCCTCATTATTGTGTCCAGTTGGAGGAACAATATCTACAGATATTTCATTCTCTGTGCTATTTGTTGGATATTTGTCTTCTCTGCCTATTTCATGATGCTGTTCATGCATCACCAGATTATGAGTAGTATCTTCAGGTTTGAAGTCATCACTGGAACCCGTAACTGTTATAATGATGGTTGAGTAAATTTCAACGTGCTTTAACACTTGCATATCAAATTTCCCACCACAACATTCTATGAACTTTCTAAATATTCCCAGTGGACATCCACTACCAATATGTAGTGGTGATCCATAAGAATTTAGTTATCAGTGAAAAGAAGTTGAAATAAAATAGGATAAATGGAATTAATTTAATTTGGAATTCAGTAGTAGAGAAAGACACATCACTGCTCCTTTTCAGATCTGTATGAGATATTTCCATCTCAGACTTTCCACCCATTTTCTCACAACATTTGTAATTCATTATAGGCAACCATGGCATAAGCACCAACCAGGTTGTGATGAGAATCAGCAGACTTTGGTCTCAGATATCAGCATGATTTATGTTGCACTTATTACTTATACCATGATATTAATTGATTCAGATTGTGAAGGAAGAGAATTTCTGAATTCTCTTTTCTCACTAATACCTGTATGTGAGCTTTCCTTCCCATGCACATTTTCAATTGGAAGAATAATTCCAGGTACCCAGTCATCTTTTGATGCATTTGTAGGATGTCTGGGTTCACTCGTCCAGCTGGGATGTGTTCTGTCAGTCAGTGGAATTTGTGTAGAATCTTCATATCCATCACCATCATTGGAGATCATAACTGTTACAATATGGTTGAATCAGTGTGTAATCTATTTCTAAATAACTTACATTTAAAACCTAGCTTGATTATATAGCATATGCAACAGGAGGCTTCTGATTTTCTGAACAGTCTACTATACTGTAAGCCAAATATGTTCTCTCAAAAAATCCTGCTGATTTATGGAATGTTGTATTACACAGATTAGTTCCATCCTGATATCTTATTCTGTGTAATTGTATAGTTCTTTATTCTGATATTTTGCTCTGTTCGATAAATTGGGGACACATTTATTGTTAAATAATTTTTAAAACTCTTTAAAAACACTTTATGGGATAATTTAAAGAGCAGTTTGCAATATGGTAACTGCAAGTGGACACTATAGTTCAAGAGAAAGCCAAATGCAGGCATGCCCTAGCTCTTTAGCCTCCCTACTGACAACTTTGATTATGGCAACTGACTTCAATACCTAATCAGGGGAGGAAAGGAGGGTTCCCGTTTGGTCTGTATGGGACTATACATTTTCATAGTTTTGTTACCTGAAGGAATAATAACAGAGAGTACCTTATCTTTAGATTTAAGTACTTCATCTTTAGATTTATCTCATCTCTAGATTCATACACCGCATTCATTTGTGGGTCTGGTGTCAAGTTGTCCTGTATGCTACCACCCCTGCCAATCACAGCTGTTTCCTGAGCCTCAAAACATTATTGCTTAAAGTTTCTAAATAACATTTTAAAAACTTCCAGTATGCCCCAATCATCAGGGACAGTGGGATTATGGTAGATGTGGGCCCACAAATAAATTTTCCAAGCTCTGCCTATAGTGTTGCTAGCTGAATAAATGTTATAGCCTGAAGAAACAGAGCCATGTCTCAAACAACTGTTGACTGTTTTTTTCAAAACCCTTTTTGTTGATTCGTGGAACTTCATTATCAACTGACAGTAGAGTCAGAATAGTTTTTCAAATAGGGCAAGGTGTAGCACATTTGGAGAAATACAGCTTGATTTGAATTCCATTTTCTGGATTGTACCTGTATGAGATATTTCATTTTCATACATAATTTCATTTGAAGGAATAGTTTCAGATGGAACATCATCCCTTGTTGCATTCATAAGAAGGTCCCTTTCACTGTCCCATCCAGGATGCATGCCGTGAGGTAGTAGGGGATCTTGTGTGTGGTCTTCACGCTTGCCATTATCACTGGAGGCAACAGCTGTTGCAGATGGGTTGAATATTTTCAAATGGTACATTTGCATAGTTCCATCCCAAAACAATTTCCTATCTACTATGTTTTCTGAATTACCAGAATATACTACCATCTAGTTCCTAGTTTTTTATTTGTGACTTAAAGTTGAATAATCAGTAATCTCTCACTAACATTAGAAGAATCAAAATGCCCACAATTTCTTTATTTTGCTAATAAATCCTTTTTGAGATTTCCTCAACTTGGCAAAATTATTCCAGGCAGGGAACAATATCTAGATAAACACATAGGAATGGCTTTGAGAACCACTATAGTTTAAAAAGCATAACACCTATTTTCATAACCCACAATTAGAATCTAATTTATACACAAAGTAGACAAACAGAATCCTCATAGCTGATGCCATTCTTGAGATTCAAACTATTTTAAAAATGATTGGATATATTTTAAAGGCCATATTTGCATGGTTTCTTTCTACATTTTCTATAAGGAACCTATAACATGTAACCTTTGTGCTTTTGTGGAAGCCCATGGGTGAAAACAGAATCAGGACTACACTACTAAGGAAACTTCCACTAGTAAGCCAAGTACTCTTAGAAAGGTAAGAGAAAACATTTAAAAAATTATATATATATATATTTCTTCTTTTCTAAATGGTACCTGTAAGTGATGGTTCCTTTCCATGATCACTTTCAGTTGGATGAACAATATTAGGCCACAAATGATTTCCAGGTGTGTTGGTGAGATATTTTTCTTCATTATCCCATATAGAATGTTCTCTGTGCAAAATTGTTTCATGGGCAGAGGCTTCATAGTGAGTATCACCACTGGGAACTACTGCTGTTACAAAGATGGCTGGGTCAACTTTAAATATGACGCTTTCACACTTTTATTTCCCTCCCTTCTATTTTACTTGGGCCTAATATTATAAGAGGAAGGCAGTACATCTTAGATGCTAATTTTAACTGAAAGAGAGTGACCCTGACCTAGGACCTTATCACACGCTGGCCACGAAGCGAAAAGTAACCAAAATAAGAATAAATTCAGTTCTATACCGAAATGAACTAAATTTCGCCTGCGCGGCCATTGCGCAATGATTCCGAAAGCTCCCTTGTACTTCCCCGAAAAACCGAATGTCAAAAGATCTCAATTTGTTACGGATTAGCTCCGGGTTCTGTCGAGTTTCGGTGCAACGTCGTGTGTAACACGGAGAAACAATATGGATTAGCTCCGGGTTCTGTTGAGTTTCGGTGTAACGTCGTGTGTAAACACGGGGAAATAATATGTATTAGCTACGGATACCCTTTGGATTAGGTCTGCTTTAGACCCCGTGTGATAAGGTCCCTACATCTGGTAGGATGATTAGATTGTTGTTTAGATTAATTGTTTAGATTGTTGATTAGATTGTTGTTATTGTGTGCCTTCAAGTAATTTTCAACTTATAGTGACCCTAGCATATGGTTTTCTTGGCAAGATTTGTTCAGAGATTTGCCATTGCCTTCCCCTAAAGCTGAGAGCATGTGACTTGGCCAAGGTTACCCTGTGGGTTTCATGACTAAGCAGGGAATCGAACCCTGATCTCCAGAATTACAGTCCAACGCTCAAACCACAGCACCACAGTAGCTCTCCCTGAGTAGATTGGAACCACCTAATCAATAAAAATTTGGTAAATCAACATTTTTTTAAGCTCCATTGATTAAGTGGGTCTACTCTACTTGGGAAACTTGGACTTATGTTTTTTTCTTTGTATAAGTAATCAACAAGGAAAATAATATCTACTTCTTTTGGAAGTGTAAAACAAAATCTAATGCCCTTTCACACTGCACAGTCATAGCACTGTGATTTCATTTTAACTGCAGTGGATCCATCTTATTACATCTGAAGATTTACAGTCTGAGGAATTCTCAGCTAGAGAACTCTAGTGCCTCACTATACTACAAACTCTACGATTCCACAGGAGGCTGCCAGGAAGGTTAAAATGGAATCACAGCACTATCACTGTAGTGTGAAAGGGCCCCAGTCTACCAAGGAAACTGTAAAGAGAAAGTGTATAACTGACATGATTAATTGAAAAAAGTCAGAGACCAGTGATTAAATAAGATCTTTCATCTAGATAGAAACTGCATCTCCCATTTGAATTTTAGGTGAACCTACAGAATTAACTTGAGTTTAAATTAGAACTGTGTTCCACATCATGGGGAAAATGAATTCGATTTGGAGAAGTATCAGTAATCAATCTCCAAAAGAATTATCTTCATAGAGAAGTACATATGGAAGAGTTGGGGAACCTGTGGTCCTTCAGACAGCGATGAGCTATCATATCCATCACCCTTCATTATTGGCCAGACTGGCAGAGGCTGATAGGAACTAGAGTCCAACAACATCTGCAGGATGACAGGTTTCCCAGCTCTGATATACATTATCTTTATTTAGATTTTTCATATTTTTGTTTTGTTTAGTGCTTTATTGCTATATTTTGCATGCTGGTTGCAAACTGCTGCCATCTTTATCTGGCTTGAGTACCATTTGCTCTTGTTTTACAATTTTGCAGACTACCTGGAGAGATATTTCTGTCTTAAGAGGGTAGGTATAAATGAATCAAACATATAGAAATGTTCAAAGATGCAGAATTCTCCTTTCTTCTTTGTACCTGTATGATTCTTTTCTGAATCTTCTTCATGCTTGTTTTCATTTGAAGAAATGATGCCAAGGAGTATATCATCTCTCGATGGATTTGCAGGATACCTGTCTTCATGGCTCCAGCTGGAATGGATTCCATGAATCAACATATTGTTTGAAGAATCTTCATGGTGAATATTACCAGCGGCATCCACAACTGTTATAATGATGGTTGGATCAGTGGCACATTTTCACAATTACATTTTATATTACATAATGGCAACAATTTCTATTGGGATATACCACTATTTAAGGCTTCAGTTCCAATTCCTGCAGATTCCTTTTAAGGGAATGACAATAAACTAATCTGGGGTGAAGGAATGTTGCTTTTTAGACAGGTACCTGTATGAAGTGATTCATTTTTATGCTCCATTTCACTTGGAGGCTGGTGACTTCCAGGTAGAATAGTTTTGTTGGATGTGTAAGTGGGGTCTTCAATAGTCCATTCAGAATGCACATCGTATGATAGTGGATTTTCAGTAACTTCTTGATGTTTTATCCCATTGTTAGAAACCACATCTACTTTAACATTGAAACATGTTGATAATTTAATATTTGCAGAATTGCTGTTTGAAATATACTTTGGATATATACATATTTTCAGTTCTATACTTTTTTCTTCAGTGGCACTAGCTCTCAAAAAGAATCAGCATAGCTCTCAAAACGAATCGGCACAGAATTAGACTTCCTTTATCTATAACTAAGGGCCTCAGCAGACGGAGGCCCTGGAGCCGCCACTGGATGGAGCGCCACGGGGATGCAGCCTCCGCATCCCGGCGCTCCTGCGGCGGCTCTGGAAGGAGCGCTAAATCAGCGCTCCTTCCTCAAGACAGGGAAAGTGCGCCCTAAAAGTGGCGGGCGCACTTTCCCTGTCTTTTCCTCCGCAGCGTGTCCAGTCGCTGCAGAGGGAGGTTGCCTTGGAAGCGCCGGCCGTGCGGAGGGCTGGCAGCTTCCAGGGCGACCTCAGGAAGAGGAAGGGGCACCGCTCGTGCGGCTGCCCCTCCTCTTCGGGGCCTCCAAGACGACTCTATTAGTCGTCTGCCGAGGCCCTAAGTCAAGCATCTCAGTCATCACTTTATGGATAAGCACTTTACATGCTAATATAATCAACACTTTTAAAGGCCTATTAATGTTTACAGAATCATTGTAGTCCACAAGGTTCTGTAATTGATTAATAAACCCAGATAAAAATGGATGAAAAGAGCATGCACACAAAAAGAAAAATGTGGTATCCCAGCTAATTTTTCTTCACATATGAATGTCTTGTAAGCCAGTACTGAATAGGCAAACAACAGTTCTTTAATTTGGGGTGTGTGTGTGTGTGTGTGTGTGTGTAAGTATTTCTGACTTCTATTGAAATGTGGGACACAAATTATGCACTATAGAAAGAAATGGACAGGCATTTGTCTATAATGACAATTACATAATGCAACTAAATCAAATTTCAGTGCACAGTATCCTTAGTGAGGCTGCTGCTAAGCTTCAGAAAAGGGCCTCAGAAAATCTGATTACTACTACTACTACTACTAATAATAATAATAATAATAAATTTGTAAACCAACTTTAGCCGTAGCTATCAAGCCGGCTTACATCTAAAATCAATACATAAAAACAATTCCTACAAGAGGTTACTGACAGCACTAATACACTTTATTCCTTGCTATCAATATATCCAAAATAAAGATGATATGTTTATAGTTACTGTGGTTAATGGACGAAACATATAAATGAGATGTGGCACTAAAAAGTTGTAGCTTGGAAGTGCAATTACAATACTAATATACTCTCTGGAGAATAAACACTATTACATGTCAACTTAGTGTGTGTGATGTATTATTTAAGAGTGATAATCAGTAGTGTCACTGGTTGGGTGCAGAGGGTAACACTCAGTCAGTCCCCCACCCCCCACTGGGCCTCTCCACGGCCATGGAACTGGTTTACGGGGCTCTCCACAGCTGTGGGCCTGCTCCTTGGGGGTGTATGGGGCTTCTCTAGTCCTTCCCAGCCTTTCCCCAGTATGTGAGGGGCTTCTCTCGGCCTCCTTGGCTTTTCCCTGGGGCGCAGGGGGCTTCTCTGGTTATGCACTCACACTCCCGCATGTACCGGAAGTCCCTCCCCCATAAGTCCCACATCCCACCCGAGTCAGTAACCACACCGGGAGACACCAACCCTAGGGATGCCACTGGTGCTAATGTTCCTAAGTAATTTTAATATACCAAACTACTTATGCAGTTACTACCACTTTAAAGAAAAAAACTGAGAAATTTCTGGGTAGCTTACTACAGCTAGCCCCTGGTATTCACTGGGGTTAGGTTCCAGGACCTTCTGTGGATTTCTGTGGGCTCCAACTAGGGACACGCAGAATGTGCTGGAATCATTTTACCATTCCTACTATTTCTCTCCCCACTCCTTACAATTCCTTTGATATGTCTCCTGGAATTTACTTGACTGTTAACCCATCAGTGAAATTTAGAAAGTCAGAGCTATTATGATAATAATGACAAATCAATGGGGATCTCCTTTATTACCTTTGCTTTCAAATGCTTTGCTGTTGCATCTGAAAACACAAGGGAATCTTTCCAATGGTGGTTCTGAGGGAAAAGGAAATGTTTCTGCTCAGGTAAAGCAAACCATTCAATTTCCTCCCTCCATGCTGCAACCTATTTTAGAGAGACCCTCAACCCTCAAGAAAATGCTTATGGGGAAAGGGCACTACAGTAGGTCTAGGGAAAGCAGTAAAAAGCAGGTGCCGAATTGCTTTCTGCTAGTGCAAGGATGGCCAATTTGCAGGAGTGTAACTATGGGGGGTGTATTACACAATGAGAGCATTGTCCCCCCCCCAGTAATAATTCTGCCCCACCAATAATTTGGGGTGTGTGTATAGCTATAATAAAGTATAGCTATAATAAAGTAAAATACTATAATTTTTCTTTCAGTCCCAAAAGTATTGCAGTAACTTAAAAGTTCAGCTGGGCATCTAGAAATACAGTTTCGGTATCCAAAGAAAAGGGGGAAGCCAAACTTACCAAGGAAATGAGAACATGACAAATATATATAAGAATTCTGGATGTGAAAGATTTTCAGTATCTCACTCTTTGCAATGTTAGAAATTCCAGAACTGAATAAAAATGTAATGGGGTGCGGGTGCAGATTTCTTATTTAGGTGAGAGAATGCCTCATTTTTCTGGCCCAATGTACCTATACCTAATTTGTGACCCTCTCCATGATGTTATTGGACTGGTTATGCTGGATAGGGCTGATAGGAGTTGCAGTCAGTCCAACAAAATCTGCAAAACCACCACAGGACACAATCCATTAACATACCTTGATTTTACATTTGTAAATACTGAGACTCAACATTGTAAAGAAAATGTCATCAGGAAAAAGATTATAGTATTTTACTTTATTATAGCTATACTTGTCAAAGGCTACCCTTCAGTCTTAGGACCCAGATGTAATTCAGGTGGGAATGGATGAGATTTAAAAAAAAATGTTTACTGTTTTGTAAGATTGTTGGGGTTTTTTGGCAAGGAAATAACTGTCTGAGACTATTGACCTGTTATGCCCTTTCAAGGACATCAGATGTGTTTCCCTATATAGAAATGAAAAGATTTTAACTCTATGACCTTGTCTGCACTGGCCAGATCAGTCCAGAGCCAGCCCTGAGTGTCCTGGCCCCACAGCAGCCCAACCTATCCCTGTTACCTGGCCCTCATTCCCCACAATGCCACGGCTGTCTACATGGGCATCCAGCGCCACCATGAGAGACTCACTTCTGAGGTCAGAATGAGGTACACATGATGATTACAAGGCTGGGTGCCTTGTTCTGACCTCAGAATGAGCAACCTTGTTTTCTGCTGCTCCAGAGAATAGGACACGGAACAATGGATTCAAGCGACAGGAAAAGAGATTCCAGCTCAACATTAGGAAGAACTTCCTGACAGT